CTTTGTGTACTAAAGGTAGTCTTTGACAATAACTAGCTTGCTGAAAGATTTTTTGCCTTTAGAGGATCAAACCTACAATATCAGAAAGATTTAAAGTGAAACACACATTTGGAGAAATATTTGTATAGTTATTTATAATATAATATAATACATTTACAAATGTTTAACAGGCTTTTTGCTGACTAGAATTTTTTATTAAACTGAATTAAAAATAACAAATTTCCTTAGAAAAAAGGTTGTTTTTTTAAGTATACTTTTCTAAGCTTTTTCTTATTTTCAGCTTTTAAACATCTTTGTCTGTTTGAGATTTCTATGAAGACCAAACATTTTTTTACATTCCATTTCAATTTTTTAAATCTTGCTTGACTATAAAGATTGTCCAGTGCAACATTAAGAAATTTGCATCAAAATGCATCAAAAAGTCACAAACTTTTTCATCATTGAGAGCTGAGTGAAGAAGTAGATTGTCATTTAGACTCATCAAACATTTAAATCAAAAAGGAGTAAAAATAATAAACTCAAAGGAATTCATCTATTTAAGCAGATAATGCACTTCATTATTATTTTCACCTGAAGGTATCACTCTTTTAGAAAATTTGATGCCTTCAAGATCTCTTTTAGCTTATTCCCAAACGGCTTGACTGTGTCAATACATGAACTTCCTAAATAAAAAAATTATGTAATGCTAGATCTGTATCCTTGGGAAGGATTTTCCCACAAACTGACTGCAGCTCAACAAATGGTATAGTTTTTAAGTATTTTCAAAGTAGGATATTACAGAAGTTAATCATACAACAGCGAAACTCCATATAAGTTCAAACTGGGCAGAGCAACTAACAAACTTAGTTTGTAGATTATTTTGTCTACTTAAACCTTGAACTCTATTGTAAATCTTAGTTATATTAGCGCCATCGTTGTAGCCGTGACCATAACAATTTTTAATACCATGTTCATTCTCATTTGACTCATTCAATAAAAACTTTGTTTTATCAGCTCTCTTTTTTTCTTTGAAATTTTTTCTTCAAAGAAAAAAAGTATTCTAGATTTACCTTCTAGATTTCAAAGAAAAAAAGCTATTTGTTTTGTTTTTGCATTATTGCCATAATGCAAAAAACAAAACAAAAAAGTATGCTGTGGGACACCAAGATTGCTTTCTTTAATAATGGTGAAGTATAGTGATTTCTTATTTTTTTCTAAAACAATTTCTTAAACCACCAATTTGCCACACTCCTCAATAAATCAGTCCAGATCAATCAATCCAGATTTTAAGGATAAGTAATTACCTTAAATGCATTTTTCAAATAACAAAAATTAATATAAAAAAATTTTTATATTAATTTTTTTATTCTATTTTTTATATTAATTTTTGTTATTTTTATTTATTTTATATTATATTTCATTTTTAACTTCATCTATTTACAAAAATGAATAATTACAATAGTATAAACAAATTTAAATTTATGTGCGGCTGTGGCACATGTGCGCCCATGGCGCAGTGGTTACAGCGCTTGCTTTATAAGCAGGAGATCCAGGTTCGAAATGAGCTCTGGACATATTTTTGCATTACGTTAATGAAGGAGGCGTAAACTTCCTGGTTAAATGCTCTGCCGCGGTGCTCTGTGACAAGTCTGTTAGGTCTTCTAGGGGCACCTAAAAAACAAAAAAAAACTTTGCCGTAACCCTAACCCTATGGCTGACTTTGATGCCTGTCCTAACCAAACCCTCAGTTGATGTAACAGCACTCCCTTGCGAGTCAGGCTATTTGATAGTCGATGTATGGACTTTTCGTTCTCTATAAAAGTTTGTCATGGGTACATTTTTTTACAAATAAAAATTATGCTTATGGAGACAAAAAATTAACAGGTACACTAAAATGTCCCCGTAAGTGTTTGTTTTTTGTAAAATCTGTCCCCTTAAATGAAAAACTGTACATATATATATATATATATATATATATATATATATATATATATATATATATATATATTATATATATATATATATATATATATATATATATATATATATATATATATATATATATATATATATATATATATATATATATATATATATATATATATCAGAGCTGCCAAGAGAGGATATATATCTATATACATATATCCTCTCTTGGCAGCTCAGTATATATATATATATATGTATGTATATATATGTATATATATATATATATATATATATATATATATATATATATATATATATCAGAGCTGCCAAGAGAGGATATATATCTATATACATATATCCTCTCTTGGCACCTCAGTATTTATATATATATATGTATGTATATATATGTATATATATATATATATATATATATATATATATATATATATATATATATATATATATATATATATATATATGTATGTATGTATGTATGTATATACACACACACAACAGATAATATGTATCTAAAGTAGTAAGTAACCAAGGCTCCGGCTAAAAATGAGACTTTTTGTAAACCTGGCTCCGGCAAATTTATAGAATTTAGAAGGGGTTGTTAGCCGGGGCTAGAAATTTATAATACTTAATATATTATAATTTTATGCTTACATTTATTATTTATTAAATACTGGCATATATTTATATATTTTTAAACTCTAATTTACTTCCAACAAGATTCCAATCAACCACTATTAAGTTATGAGTTACTTTAAAATAGAGATTAAGTTAAAATACTAGGAAACGTATAACTGAAGACTTGAAAAGTTGTAAGTTGTATAAAATAAAGATGGGTAAGTGTTAAAAGGTTTTTTTGATGTTCAAGGAAAAAAACTGGATAAATAAAAGTTTTTATAGCATGAAGGGACAGATACAGTAAAAGGATGCATCTTGTTGAATAAGAAACTGAATAAGAATGAGTTTTGGTTTATTTTTATAGAGATGGTAGTTCGTTTGAGCATTGACCATGATTGTATTTGTAGAAAAAAGAAAGAGATGCAACCTTACAATAATGGGAGAGTGGCTCAAGCTTGGCAGATAGAACAGGTCTAATTACATTTACAATGTGTTTTTAGACTTTGTCTGAGAGTAAGAAGGTTGTTATTTGTCAATATAGGAATGCCAACAATATTGCATTATTTTTTTGCAGTAAATAAATGAGTTTTGTTGTCTAACAAAAAATGTTGATTTTAAGTCCAGAATTTAAATCCATAAGCCACTACAAGCATTGCAAAAAGTTTTGCAAGGTTTCTGCAAGGTTTCTGCAAGGTTTTTACAGAAGAGAAATCAGATTTAAAATCGGCTGCTTGTTCTAAGCAATTAAAAATTAAAGATTTTTTTTCAAGACAAAAGTTTAAAGTTGAGTTGTCAGCAAATAGATTCACTTTAGATTTCATGAAGATTGTTATTGTCGATAAGAAACAATACAGGAGCAAAGATGAACCTTTTGGTACTCTTTTGGTTAAGGTTACTTAAAATAAAGAAGTAGGCCTAGGCCCTTGATAAAGGGTAGGCCTTTAAGAATAACTATACTGCTGGAGTTAGAAAGAAATAATTTATTAACCTTAAAACCTTTATATAAAGAAACTAATAACAGGGTGAAGACTAATCGTAGGATAGTTGGAGGGGTCAAAAGGTTTTCTAGAGCTTTGAAAAATTGAAACCACTTATTTAGCACTTTTTAAAAGCAAAAATTGAAGAGAGTTCTGGAAAACCCTTTTTTAAGACTATGATGGAAATCTATTCTGGAGCAAAAATTGTAGAAGTGTTTAATTGACAATTAACTTTAGCATTGGAAGCCAGAGTGATTTCCGCGTTTAACAATTCGTTAATTTGTATAACTTTCAGGAAGAGGCCATTATATTCAAGAATCAAATTAGAGTAAGATTTCTTTGCAAATAACTCTGCTTTATTCTGGGGAGAAGTAAAAAGATCAGACCTATGAATTAATGACACTCTTGAAGACTAACCAAAAGTCTCTAGAACTTAACTTCTGAGATAAGATACAAGGTTTAGTAAACTGAGCTTAACATCAGACAGGGCTATTTTAAATTAGCTTTTTGAAATAGTAAAAGGACATTTGTTCTTAAGATAGATGTTCTTGTAAAAATGATGAAAAAAACAATTTTTAATAAAGCAACTGCTCAAGATGGTGAAAAATATGGAGTAGATTGAGGCTTGATAGAAGAAGAGAAGTAATAGAAGCTACCAAACTTTTATTCCAGAAGGAATAAAAGCTTCCAAGATGCACTTTGTGCATACATATTATGGATATAAACATATATATTTGATATTTTTTAGATGCTGAGATACAATATCCATTCATTGTTATAAAAACTTTAGTATTTATATGGTGTAGTATTTGCCGAAAAAGAAGATGATCAGATGGATGTGTGATACGACTCTAGCAAGACAAGAAAAAGAGGCATAATCTTAGACAGATAAGAAAAAATGTTTTATCGAACAACGTTTGTTAAAAAAGAATAAAGTAATTTAGGTATCAGCATGTAGAGAGGTAGCAGCTTCAGTAGAAAATAATAGTGGTAGAAGTAAGAAAATTTGAAATAAGTGTCTTACATATTGTATGAATAAGTTTAGTTAGGGAAAAAAATGCTCTAAATAGTTTGTATTAAAGAAACAGCATAAAAAAAATTGCATTTTTATTTTTGTTAAGAATTCAATTCAATTTCGAAAACTATAAACAAAATTTATTGCAATTTTCCAAGTTGAAAATTAGCTCTGTTCATACAGCTAAAGCAGCTCATACTAATCTTAAACTATAGCTTGAATAAAAGATTTATTGTAAACATAATTTACAAGTTGCAAATGCTGTTTTAAAAGGGATGGAAACATGTCAGAAACAACATTGTTAGATTACACACTATGGCTGTATGTGATCATTCGGCGAATAATCACGTGATCATTCGGCAAATTTATATGCTAAAATCTAAAGTAAAATCTAATAAATTATCTTTTTATTATTTAAATTTTTTTTTATGTTTATGCTTATTATTTGATTTATTTGTTTAATTTTTTAGGTGACTAATATACTTGAACCGCTAAAGATTTTTTTCTCTGTGCTTTTTTTTGCCTCTATAGGTGAGTTATTTTTTTCTTTTGCTTGGTAATTTTGTTTTATTTGGTTACTTATTTTTTCCAATTGTTTAGACTTTTTTTTGCTTCCATTGCAGTGTCTTCTGGTTATATAATTGTTTTATTGTTTTATTTTCATTAATTTATTGGGAGTTTCATTAATTTATGGGAGCCATTAACAAAGTATAATTTTTATGTCATTTTTTTTGTATTGTTTGTTTTTCTAGGGTTTCACATATTTCCGACATTTTTGCTGTCAGAATTAATATTGTTTGTGTCTATTACATTTTTTGTTATGGCTACAAAGGTATTGATTAATATATTGTTTGGTTTTATTGTTGAAAATTATTTGTCAACTTATGGGTTGAATGAATTTTTTCAGTTTTTTGTATGTGCTGGAATCTTGCACTACATTTTGCCTAAAGGTAACAAATCTAAATGGTTAGTTGCTGCTGGGCTTGCGCAATTGAGTGAGTTTTCATTTGTGCTTGGAAGTCGAGCAAAGAGGTTCGGATTGATTGGTCGTGAGGTAGTTATACTTTTTTGTTAAAATTAATTTTAAACACACAAAAAAGTACTTTTAATTTAACTTAATTGTGCAATAAAGTAGAAAAGAGAAAAAAAACTTCTTTTTCGTGGTCAATTGACCTAGTGAAAAAACTCTGATATAAACTTTCAGATAAAGGTGGAAGGAGTAATCCTTAGATGTTAATTTTTCTAATGGTGATATCTCCATATAAAGTCTATCGTTGTAATATCACGATGTAAGTCAATATAAAGTCTATCGTTGTAATATCACGATGTAAGTCAATATTAAGTCTATCGTTGTAATATCACGATGTAAGTCAATATAAAGTCTATCGTTGTAATATCACGATGTAAGTCAATATAAAGTCTATTGTTGTAATATCACGATGTAAGTCAATATTAAGTCTATCGTTGTAATATCACGATGTAAGTCAATATAAATTCTATCGTTGTAATATCACGATGTAAGTCAATATAAAGTCTATCGTTGTAATATCACGATGTAAGTCAATATAAAGTCTATCGTTGTAATATCACGATGTAAGTAAAGTCATGATCTGAAAAATAGGTTAACACGAGGGCATCTGAACATAAACAATTATTCGAATTATTGGTAATGTCATATATAAATATAGAATGAATTATGAAATGTATATTTATAAAATATTTTTTTTTTAGGTTTATTTAATCATTTTATCCATTACGACGCTAAGTTTATTTATTTCGCCTTTTATGTGGCGATTTGTTTATTGGAACGTCACTAAAGTATCGCCATGGAATCTGAATTTAAGAAATATTCAACAAAAGATTTTGTCGTGATGAAGCAAGTGTGTACTATAGATCTGTTTGAATTACTTGATGAAAATTTTGTATAGGTTTGAATTATTGAACATTGATGCTTTTATATGTTGATTAGTATTTATGTTTTTATATTTATTATAGTTGGTTTATAATATAAATGTTTCAATGTATATATATATATATATATATATATATATATATATATATATATATATATATATATATATATATATATATATATATATATATATATATACATATATCAGATAAAATTTATTATGGTGTATCTAATATTTGCAGGGTCAATAACACCGCCGGAGCAAACAAAGTGGTTCTCTGAAGCATCATTATTTTTAAAATAATTTATAACAGTGAAAGTTGTATTTCGTAAAAAAAAAAAATATATATATATATATATATATATATATGTATATATATATATATATATATATATATATATATATATATATATATATATATATATATATATATATATATATATATATATATATATATATATATATATATATATATATATATATATATATATGTATATATATATATATATATATATATATATATATATATATATATATATATATATATATATATATATATATATATATATATATATATATATGTTTTGGTAACAAATGCAGTAACATTTAAAAATTAAATATGAAAACGAGACACCCTGAGAGTCTATTGGACCTGAGAGTCTATTGGTCAGACACCCTATGAGTCTATTGGAGTTGGAGCTCTTCGTAAGTTTTTTCTTTCAAGCACTTTGTGATTTTTAAACGTAGTTCGGTTTAGTGATAGATTCAAAAGAGAGGTCTTATGAGGCTAATCAATGAAATACTAATACAGAGAAGTTTGATAAGTTTGTAAAATTTTTATTTTGAAAAGCTCATCTTCGTACTTTTGCGCTCGTGTCGCTTTTTGCAATACATCCTTCATTGATACCTTGAACTCAGAAAGCTTTGATGTATTCGGAGTTTATTTCGAAAGACCTAGAAACCCTTGATCCGCCCTAGAGTTACTTGTAACGTTTGTTGTTAGTTTTATGAGATTTTCATCTTCTGCGCTTTTGGCAACGCTAAAATGCGTTGCGCTAACAAAATTCTGCAGAAAGCAACCGATTTTGTTTGTTTGCCCAATGAATTTTTTGAATTTTTTTTTTTGCTTTTTTTCTTATCTGCCTAATAGATACCGCTAATAGATAACACGCCAAAATTTCAGTGTACAGTATAGCTTTAAGGTGTCTATCTCGAAAAGAAAAAAAGAAAAAAAAAAAAAAAAAAAAAAGAAAAGAATAGATCGGCTCAAGATTGATTAATGAGTCGATAGCGTTTCTTTGACTAGCTGACAAGCGGGTAAAATGGGAGAACAGAAAAAATAGTCCTCGATCCGCTGCAGAGTTACTTTTCAGTGCATAGAGGAATCTTTCATCAGACAGTCAACACAATTAGTTAGATCACTAGCTGTCAGGTGAGTAAATTGTGTGAGCAGACAAAAAGTTTCTGAATTCAATCCAGAGTTTCTTTTTCAGACCAAAAAAAGGTGTTCTTTTAACAGATAATTTTATTTTTTAACAGATGATAAAAGCAATCGATTAGATCGTTAGCGGTCATATTGTGGAAACGTGTGAACAGGCAAAAAGTTCTTAATTCAATCTAGAGATTCTTTTTCAGTCGAAAAAGTGTCCTTTTATCAGACTTTTATTAAAGCAATCGATTTGATTGCTAGGTGTCAAACGTGTGAACTGAATAAATGTCGTGCATCCTCTTCATAGATTCTTTTCAGTCCGTAAAGTGTTCTTTTACCAGATGATAAAAGCAACAGGCTAGATTGCCAGCTGTCAAATGGGTGGCCTATTTTACGAGATTGGATCACTAACTTTTAAATGGGCAAAAAAAGTAAACTAAAAAAAAAAAAAAAATGTCCTCGATCCGCTACAGAGTTACTTTGTAATCCATTGACTAAATTATAATGACTAATTTCTTTTACGATATGATAGAAACAGTCGTCTAGATCACCAGTTGTCAAATGGGTGGCCGAATTTACGCGATCGCCAAGCATTGTATGTTTTGGTGCCGTTTAAGTCTACAACCTTTCGCTAGTTTTATTTATTTCGTTTTATCATATTTATTATAACTTGTCTATCTCGAACAGAAAAAAATATAGGCAAGTAAAGTCACTGTAAAGGGCAGTTTGACATTTGACAAAAGTTATTTCTTCATCTGTAGTCATTTATCATTTTTTTTGTTGTTTTTTTCTCCCAATGTTGAAACAAACTAACTATGCTCCGAGTGAAAAGAAACGCAATTTTTTTCACTCGAGATCATATTTGTGGCCAAACTTGACAAATAAAATAAAAAGGTTATTTTTTAAAACTCTTCAAGATTCTTTGCAGAGTTTTGCCAATCGTTTCTTTTGGCTGTAACGTTTAAAGAGGACCTGCAGGCCTTAGTTTAGTTAGCATTAATCTGTTTCAAAAGTGTCGTTTTTCTCAAGTTGATCCAAAGAAGATGACAAAATAGTTCTAAATATAATGTGTCGATGCTGCACGTGTTGTGTTTGTCATTGTCAGCTAAATGGGATTTTGTACGGAAAGTCTTTAGGGGTTATTCAAACTAAACTGTTATATGTTTATACACCTGTGCCTCGCTTGCATCCCACCGTGATACAACACATTTCCCACAGCATCTCGTCAACATTTAACAAAACTCGTCATATTGTCATGTTGAGTTTTTTGTTTGTTTGTTTATGTTTTTGTGATAAAAAATTAAGGCGACAGATAGATGTCGAATAAAGTCAGAAGAGAGTAAACGGCTCGGCAGTTTACTTAAACATCCGTCTGGCAGAATGCTTCGATAAGCTGTCAAGCAATTGAATATCAACGCAATTTCGAATTAAATGCCGCAAAATGATCAGCACACCACTTAGGCACCTTCTCGCGGTGACAAGAAGTTGTAAAAGTACTGAGGCACGTGATGCAAGTCTAATCATTTTTATCACTGTCGCGCGTGTTTGTGTCGCTTGTTACTCTGCTGTCTAAGCAACATCGATAGCTTGACAAGCGCAAAACTTTGGTTTTTCTTCTTCCCGTGTTGTTTGTCTGTCTTTAGAAGCAAATTTGGTTTGATCAAGGTCAACTTTACTTCAGTTTTCTTTCGACGCGCACGCTAGTTTGCTTTGGCACAGCGAATTTTTGTCGTTTCGAGCGCATATCTATTGCTAGCGAAACGCTATCGAACGGAAACGAATGAGTTTGTTGAGCGTCACTATTCTACAGAAGATTTTTTGGAGAAATGCAGTTTCTAGCGGTAGAGCTACGTGAACGCTGGACGTCTCCCTGTAGACACGAAAACACAATTTGCAGCTCGACGGAGTAGCTGAAATTTTTGGATAGTCCTCTACAGTCCGCACAAACTCGGCTAGAAAAAGGAAAACAACTCGGCGATGCAGACATTTGAAAGATAAAGTAAGCAAAGCTGCAAAGTTTGCGTGATAACTAGAAAATGAGTGAAGCCGCATCTCCTAAAAAGATCGCTAAGAAATCGACTCCCAAAAAGCCTGCCGATCATGCTCCGTACAAGGCCATGATTGTTGATGCCATCAACTCGCTTAAAGAACGCAAAGGATCGTCCAGACAAGCCATCGCCAAGCACGTTAAAGCCAACAACAAGGTAGGCGACAATGTCGATTCGCAAGTGAAGATTAATCTTAAGCGAATGGTCGTTGCTGGTGAGCTGGTACAAGTGAAAGGTGTTGGCGCATCCGGTTCGTTTAGAGTTGCTGCCAAGCCTAAGGCGGCTAAGAAGAAGAGTCCCGCTGCTGCTGCAACCGTTAAAAAAGCCAAGAAAGAAAGCAAAGAAGTAAAGAAAAGCACGCCAAAAAAGAAAGCCGCTCCGACAAAAAAGGTGACAGCAGCCAAAGAAAAAGCGAAAAAACCGAAAGAAAAAGCAGCTAAGAAGACGCCAGTGAAAAAGAGCGCCCAAAAGCCGTTGGCAGCAAAAAAACCTGCAGCCAAGAAAGCCAAAGCAACTCCAAAGAAGAAAGACCACCGCCAGCGAAGAAGACCACCGCCAAAGTCGAGAAGAAATAAGTTCGACTTGCCCTTTCATGTTAAACGGCTATTTTCATAGCCACACATCTTTCTAAAAACACGAGCATAGGCATATAGAACAGATAACGATTTGTTGGTTGCGATCAAATCCTGCGTCGTTGTTCATCGTAAAGTAAAAAAGATTTGCGTAAAGTAAAAAAGGGTGTCTGTTAGATCAGGGAGGTTTCACGGGATTCAGATATCTGCGAAAAAAAAAACAAAAAAAAAAAACAGGTAGTTATCAGCGAGAATGGCTCGTCCTCAAACTTACGCAAGACTTATGCAAGTTAACCGACAATTTTATTAGGCAGATTTTTCTTCATACTTTGTTATGTGAAACGTTTACGTTTTTGCAATGAAAGAGCGTTTTTTTCTAAGAGGATCCAAGTCTAATAAAATTTTTTTTTTCTCGACTTGAGCTTCCGCTTACTTAAAATGAAATCAGGGAAAACAGCTAATAGGTCAGGAATAGCTATATTACAATATTGAATTGCGCTAGCACTCTTCCGCTGTGTGTTACGCAGGAATGGCCTTATCTCTTTTTTGTGGCCGTCGCAGAATTATTAACATTCTCAGGGTAAAGCTAAACATCTATGGCGCGCATTGTCGTAGAGAGGTCTGAAAAAAGGCGCGCAAGAAGTGTGACCGTTTTTGATGAACGCATTTGGTTCATTTAGAAGCCTGAGTGGTGCACTGAGGGGTAAGTAGAGTAGACACGCTACCGCGGTCGAAGCCGAACACGTTTTTAACAGATTTGTGGCTATGAAAATAGCCGTTTTGTGTAAAATGGAAGTTCTTAAGCTCGCTCTCCTCTGATTCTTCTCGCCAACTGAATGTCCTTGGGCATAATGGTGACACGCTTTGCGTGGATGGCGCACAGGTTGGTGTCTTCGAAAAGGCCGACTAAGTAGGCTTCGGACGCCTCCTGAAGGGCCATGACGGCGGTGCTTTGAAAGCGCAAGTCGGTCTTGAAGTCTTGCGCGATTTCGCGTACCAATCGCTGAAACGGTAGTTTTCTGATGAGGAGCTCAGTTGACTTTTGGTATCTTCGGATTTCCCTAAGAGCTACGGTACCGGGTCGGTATCTGTGAGGTTTTTTCACTCCGCCGGTAGCTGGGGCACTCTTCCTCGCTGCTTTCGTTGCCAACTGCTTTCGAGGTGCTTTACCACCGGTGGATTTTCTGGCAGTTTGCTTTGTTCGGGCCATAGTCGATGAATTGCACTGCTTACGAGATAGCACTAGTTCAAACTAATTCGCTGGTTTGTTGACATCATAGAGTTTAGCGCCTTTATAAGAGTGCATCGATTTGATTGGCGCTTAGAAAGTGCTTTTTGATTGGCTCAAAAAAATGTGCAAAAGCTGTGGCGTCTATTTGCTAAATAAAACGAACGAGGCGGGCTCTGATCTTGCAGATTCTCTAGCTTTTAGTTTTACTTTCAAACGACGCGTTGATAAAGCGAACGTGACCAATTTATTATTTTGTTAGTTTGCGTCACGTTTCGTTTTTTTTATACAATTAAATAGCTGATCCAAAATAGAAAATGTCTGTGTGAAAACACACAACAACGAAAATGCGCGACTTTTTTTTTGCGCAGTCAACGTGTTCGCATTGCTTCCATCTATGTCGGGTTAACTTCGACGTGCAATAAATAGTACGGAAATCGCGCCAGAAGTTAGCATTCAACTTGAACAATTCAACATGTCTGGTCGTGGTAAAGGAGGAAAAGGTCTCGGCAAAGGTGGTGCCAAGCGTCATCGCAAGATATTGCGTGATAACATTCAAGGCATCACAAAGCCCGCTATACGTCGTCTTGCTCGCCGAGGTGGTGTCAAGCGTATCTCAGGGCTTATCTACGAGGAGACTCGAGGCGTTCTGAAAGTCTTTTTGGAAAATGTCATTCGCGACGCTGTCACTTACACGGAGCACGCCAAGAGAAAGACTGTTACCGCCATGGATGTTGTCTACGCTTTAAAGAGGCAAGGACGCACTTTGTACGGATTCGGCGGATAAACAGTCCATCAACCAAAACGGCTATTTTCATAGCCACAAATCTGTTGAAAACGTTTTATCTGGCATGTACACGTGTAGGCAAAACCTATAGAGGTTGTGAATGTTTGTGAAATTTAAAGCGATGCTTTCTTTTTTGCACCGGTTTCTATCTAATTCAACTGCCTCTGCTTTTAGTTAAGCCATGCGAAGCCGTTATCGAAAGATCGGTGAATTACACACACACAAACATATATATATATATATATATATATATATATATATATATATATATATATATATATATATATATATATATATATATATATATATTTATATATATATATATATATACATATATACATATATATACATATATACATATATATACACGCACGCACTAAAGTACATATAATGCCTGCGAAATATATATTTTTAATGAAGAACTAAAATTATCAATGGAAACCTCAACAGTATACATATATACAAAGATATACATAGATCGAAGTAAACAAAACATTATAGATCGACTGAAAAAATCAATTTCATTGACACTTAAGTTAAGCAAACTCGTTTTAACTTTAAAACTAATAACAAATGCAACGTAACGAGAAGCTTGTTGGCGTAAACAAAACTTCTAGTCTTTGTCTTTCAATCTAAGTGAATATAATTTTGCAAATCACATATTACAGTTTCTTGCGCTCATCGCGTTCCTAAATAAGCAAATTGAGTTAGGGGCCTAGGGAGGTTAGAGCGTAAAAATAAAAAAAGCAACTATTACATAGTATAGATGGTATGGAAGTTCGTTTTTCTTATTAAGTCATTTTTTAGAAAACAAAAGAGGGCGAGAAACATATTTCAGTTTAGCTAGCAGAATGATCTCGCGTTTGTTTTCACACACTATATCAGAGGCTTTTTTGTTCTAATGAGCAAAACGCCGTTTTTATAAAGATTTGTGGCTATGAAAATAGCCTTTTTGTAGTAGCACGTCTACTTGCTGCTCGTGTACTTGGTAACAGCTTTGGTGCCTTCGCTCACTGCGTGTTTTGCCAATTCACCGGGAAGAAGGAGGCGCACGGCGGTTTGAATTTCACGCGAAGAGATTGTAGACTTTTTGTTTTGAAGGGCGAGTCGCGAAGCTTCAGACGCGATCCTTTCAAAAATGTCGTTCACGAACGAATTCATGATGCTCATCGCTTTAGACGAAACTCCGACATCGGGATGCACTTGCTTTAACACGTTGTAGATGTAAATGGCGTAGGACTCGCGTCTCTTCTTCTTGCGTTTCTTATCTCCTGTACCGGCGATCTTGCCGCCTTTTTTACCAGCTCGTTTTTCACCTTTTTTGGCTACCTTGGGCGCCTGCTTTCCTCCTGTTTTCGGAGCGTCAGACATTTCTACAATGAGATAGATATCGAATAATTCTAGCGCGCAATTGAACGCCTTGCTTATTTATTACAGAGTTGTGCTCTCCAATTCGAAACCATTTGTGATGCGGCGCGCAAAATCGATTGGCTCGCGCCAAACCATTGTTTCGTAAACACTGTTTTTCTATTCGTCGAAATTTTGTCGATTTTGAGAACATTAGCTTTAAATAAGTAAGACATAGGGAATCGAGCTACTTCAAAATAAACTCGTTTCACAATTTTGTGTGTCGCTTCGTGTAAACAACAAGAAATCAAAAAATGTCAGGACGTGGTAAAGGAGGTAAAGCTAAAGCCAAGGCAAAGACACGATCTTTCAGAGCCGGCCTTCAGTTTCCCGTTGGTCGCGTTCATCGATTTTTACGCAAAGGCCACTACGCTAACCGAATCGGATCAGGCGCTCCAGTTTACTTGGCTGCTGTTTTGGAGTACCTATCCGCTGAAATCTTGGAGTTGGCTGGTAACGCTGCTCGAGACAACAAGAAAGCCAGAATTGTTCCTCGTCACTTACAGCTCGCTGTTCGCAACGACGAGGAGCTGAACAAACTGTTGTCGGGTGTAACCATTGCAAGCGGTGGTGTGCTGCCAAACATTCAAGCCGTTTTGCTGCCCAAGAAGAACGAAAAACTTCCAAAACCAGCAGCTGCCAAGTAAACAGCGGTGCTGCGCGAGCACGCTCTTAAACAAAAGGCTATTTTCATAGCCACACATTTGTCAAAAACATTTTTGCGTGAACGAAAAACTCTAACAGACTGTCACGGTGTTTGCCAGATCAGGCAATTCGCATGTCTGCAAAAAAAAAGCAGGGGATTATTGGGTTAAATTTTAGAAAAATCAGGGAAAATGGCTCTTCATCAAACTTAACTTAACTTAAACAAATTGTATACGCGTAATATAGGAGTTTATTTGGCAGATAGTTTTATGAACTTCTCTTGATACATTAAATGTGGGTTGTGTTATTGTTTATATTTTTGCAGTTGAAGAGCATTTTTCCAAACGAATCTAGGTGGTTTTTTGTGAAGTTGAGTTTGGGTAACTTTAAATTAAATCAAGGAAATCTACCTTAAAATATTGTCAGACACCCTGAGAGTCTATTGGTCAGACACCCTGAGAGTCTATTGGAGTTGGAGCTAGTCGTAAGTTTTTTCTTTCAAGCACTTTGTGATTTTTAAACGTAGTTCGGTTTAGTGATAGATTCAAAAGAGAGGTCTTATGAGGCTAATCAATGAAATACTAATACAGAGAAGTTTGATAAGTTTGTAAAATTTTTATTTTGAAAAGCTCATCTTCGTACTTTTGCGCTCGTGTCGCTTTTTGCAATACATCCTTCATTGATACCTTGAACTCAGAAAGCTTTGATGTATTCGGAGTTTATTTCGAAAGACCTAGAAACCCTTGATCCGCCCTAGAGTTACTTGTAACGTTTGTTGTTAGTTTTATGAGATTTTCATCTTCTGCGCTTTTGGCAACGCTAAAATGCGTTGCGCTAACAAAATTCTGCAGAAAGCAACCGATTTTGTTTGTTTGCCCAATGAATTTTTTGAATTTTTTTTTTTGCTTTTTTTCTTATCTGCCTAATAGATACCGCTAATAGATAACACGCCAAAATTTCAGTGTACAGTATAGCTTTAAGGTGTCTATCTCGAAAAGAAAAAAAGAAAAAAAAAAAAAAAAAAAGAAAAGAATAGATCGGCTCAAGATTGATTAATGAGTCGATAGCGTTTCTTTGACTAGCTGACAAGCGGGTAAAATGGGAGAACAGAAAAAATAGTCCTCGATCCGCTGCAGAGTTACTTTTCAGTGCATAGAGGAATCTTTCATCAGACAGTCAACACAATTAGTTAGATCACTAGCTGTCAGGTGAGTAAATTGTGTGAGCAGACAAAAAGTTTCTGAATTCAATCCAGAGTTTCTTTTTCAGACCAAAAAAAGGTGTTCTTTTAACAGATAATTTTATTTTTTAACAGATGATAAAAGCAATCGATTAGATCGTTAGCGGTCATATTGTGGAAACGTGTGAACAGGCAAAAAGTTCTTAATTCAATCTAGAGATTCTTTTTCAGTCGAAAAAGTGTCCTTTTATCAGACTTTTATTAAAGCAATCGATTTGATTGCTAGGTGTCAAACGTGTGAACTGAATAAATGTCGTGCATCCTCTTCATAGATTCTTTTCAGTCCGTAAAGTGTTCTTTTACCAGATGATAAAAGCAACAGGCTAGATTGCCAGCTGTCAAATGGGTGGCCTATTTTACGAGATTGGATCACTAACTTTTAAATGGGCAAAAAAAGTAAACTAAAAAAAAAAAAAAAATGTCCTCGATCCGCTACAGAGTTACTTTGTAATCCATTGACTAAATTATAATGACTAATTTCTTTTACGATATGATAGAAACAGTCGTCTAGATCACCAGTTGTCAAATGGGTGGCCGAATTTACGCGATCGCCAAGCATTGTATGTTTTGGTGCCGTTTAAGTCTACAACCTTTCGCTAGTTTTATTTATTTCGTTTTATCATATTTATTATAACTTGTCTATCTCGAACAGAAAAAAATATAGGCAAGTAAAGTCACTGTAAAGGGCAGTTTGACATTTGACAAAAGTTATTTCTTCATCTGTAGTCATTTATCATTTTTTTTGTTGTTTTTTTCTCCCAATGTTGAAACAAACTAACTATGCTCCGAGTGAAAAGAAACGCAATTTTTTTCACTCGAGATCATATTTGTGGCCAAACTTGACAAATAAAATAAAAAGGTTATTTTTTAAAACTCTTCAAGATTCTTTGCAGAGTTTTGCCAATCGTTTCTTTTGGCTGTAACGTTTAAAGAGGACCTGCAGGCCTTAGTTTAGTTAGCATTAATCTGTTTCAAAAGTGTCGTTTTTCTCAAGTTGATCCAAAGAAGATGACAAAATAGTTCTAAATATAATGTGTCGATGCTGCACGTGTTGTGTTTGTCATTGTCAGCTAAATGGGATTTTGTACGGAAAGTCTTTAGGGGTTATTCAAACTAAACTGTTATATGTTTATACACCTGTGCCTCGCTTGCATCCCACCGTGATACAACACATTTCCCACAGCATCTCGTCAACATTTAACAAAACTCGTCATATTGTCATGTTGAGTTTTTTGTTTGTTTGTTTATGTTTTTGTGATAAAAAATTAAGGCGACAGATAGATGTCGAATAAAGTCAGAAGAGAGTAAACGGCTCGGCAGTTTACTTAAACATCCGTCTGGCAGAATGCTTCGATAAGCTGTCAAGCAATTGAATATCAACGCAATTTCGAATTAAATGCCGCAAAATGATCAGCACACCACTTAGGCACCTTCTCGCGGTGACAAGAAGTTGTAAAAGTACTGAGGCACGTGATGCAAGTCTAATCATTTTTATCACTGTCGCGCGTGTTTGTGTCGCTTGTTACTCTGCTGTCTAAGCAACATCTATAGCTTGACAAGCGCAAAACTTTGGTTTTTCTTCTTCCCGTGTTGTTTGTCTGTCTTTAGAAGCAAATTTGGTTTGATCAAGGTCAACTTTACTTCAGTTTTCTTTCGACGCGCACGCTAGTTTGCTTTGGCACAGCGAATTTTTGTCGTTTCGAGCGCATATCTATTGCTAGCGAAACGCTATCGAACGGAAACGAATGAGTTTGTTGAGCGTCACTATTCTACAGAAGATTTTTTGGAGAAATGCAGTTTCTAGCGGTAGAGCTACGTGAACGCTGGACGTCTCCCTGTAGACACGAAAACACAATTTGCAGCTCGACGGAGTAGCTGAAATTTTTGGATAGTCCTCTACAGTCCGCACAAACTCGGCTAGAAAAAGGAAAACAACTCGGCGATGCAGACATTTGAAAGATAAAGTAAGCAAAGCTGCAAAGTTTGCGTGATAACTAGAAAATGAGTGAAGCCGTATCTCCTAAAAAGATCGCTAAGAAATCGACTCCCAAAAAGCCTGCCGATCATGCTCCGTACAAGGCCATGATTGTTGATGCCATCAACTCGCTTAAAGAACGCAAAGGATCGTCCAGACAAGCCATCGCCAAGCACGTTAAAGCCAACAACAAGGTAGGCGACAATGTCGATTCGCAAGTGAAGATTAATCTTAAGCGAATGGTCGTTGCTGGTGAGCTGGTACAAGTGAAAGGTGTTGGCGCATCCGGTTCGTTTAGAGTTGCTGCCAAGCCTAAGGCGGCTAAGAAGAAGAGTCCCGCTGCTGCTGCAACCGTTAAAAAAGCCAAGAAAGAAAGCAAAGAAGTAAAGAAAAGCACGCCAAAAAAGAAAGCCGCTCCGACAAAAAAGGTGACAGCAGCCAAAGAAAAAGCGAAAAAACCGAAAGAAAAAGCAGCTAAGAAGACGCCAGTGAAAAAGAGCGCCCAAAAGCCGTTGGCAGCAAAAAAACCTGCAGCCAAGAAAGCCAAAGCAACTCCAAAGAAGAAAGACCACCGCCAGCGAAGAAGACCACCGCCAAAGTCGAGAAGAAATAAGTTCGACTTGCCCTTTCATGTTAAACGGCTATTTTCATAGCCACACATCTTTCTAAAAACACGAGCATAGGCATATAGAACAGATAACGATTTGTTGGTTGCGATCAAATCCTGCGTCGTTGTTCATCGTAAAGTAAAAAAGATTTGCGTAAAGTAAAAAAGGGTGTCTGTTAGATCAGGGAGGTTTCACGGGATTCAGATATCTGCGAAAAAAAAAACAAAAAAAAAAAACAGGTAGTTATCAGCGAGAATGGCTCGTCCTCAAACTTACGCAAGACTTATGCAAGTTAACCGACAATTTTATTAGGCAGATTTTTCTTCATACTTTGTTATGTGAAACGTTTACGTTTTTGCAATGAAAGAGCGTTTTTTTCTAAGAGGATCCAAGTCTAATAAAATTTTTTTTTTCTCGACTTGAGCTTCCGCTTACTTAAAATGAAATCAGGGAAAACAGCTAATAGGTCAGGAATAGCTATATTACAATATTGAATTGCGCTAGCACTCTTCCGCTGTGTGTTACGCAGGAATGGCCTTATCTCTTTTTTGTGGCCGTCGCAGAATTATTAACATTCTCAGGGTAAAGCTAAACATCTATGGCGCGCATTGTCGTAGAGAGGTCTGAAAAAAGGCGCACAAGAAGTGTGACCGTTTTTGATGAACGCATTTGGTTCATTTAGAAGCCTGAGTGGTGCACTGAGGGGTAAGTAGAGTAGACACGCTACCGCGGTCGAAGCCGAACACGTTTTTAACAGATTTGTGGCTATGAAAATAGCCGTTTTGTGTAAAACTCTTTAGAGTTGCTGCCAAACCTATACCTTATAAGAAAATAAGTTCTGCTGTAACTTTTAAGCCAAGAACGAAAGCAAAAAAGTTGAAAAAAGTCTCCCGATAAAGATAGTTTTGCCAAAAACAGTGACAGCAGCCTTAGAAACATCAAAAAAACCGAAAGAAAAGGCTAAAAAGTTGCCAGCAACAATGAGCGCACAGATGCCGGTGGCAGCCAAAAACCATTTGCGAAGAAGGCGAAACGCCTAAGAAGAAAAACAAAGACTACTGCAAAAGTTTTAAAAATTTAGCTCGGCGTGCCCTTTTATACGGCTATTTGTATAGCCACACATCTTTCTAAAAACACGAGTATAGGCATAGAACAAGAAAATGACTTGTTTGTCGCGATAAAAAAGCTTTTTTAGGCATGCGAGTTTATAACACAACTTTCTTACGAGTAGACCTTGTAAAAACGTTTTACTTCTTTGAAGTTGAAAATAAAGAAGAATTGTTCACACAATCAGTCTTCCGCAATTTATCTGATTCCCGTGTGCGATTATCCATAGGGTTAATAATATTCTGTGGGTATATTTCAAATGTCTTTTAGGGTGCTTGTGCGTCAATGTTATTAACCCTTGGCATTATAGTGTGATAGGTGTGCAAAAGGCACACTCGGACACACTTGTAAACGTTTTTCTTTCATTAAAATTGGAGGGTTAGAGCCTTTTTAACGTTTTGAACTTATTTGTTGCTATGAAACTAGCCGTTTTGTGAATAAGGAGGTTCTTGAGCTACCTCTTCTCTGGTTCTTCTTGCTAATTCTACAAAATTTTTTATAACTAATTCACATGAAATATGGTTAATTTTTTCTACTTTTAATAAGCAGTGTATACACTATAAGAAAATTTTTGAGAAAATTCTTCTTTACAGGAAAAACTTTTAAGAGATTCTTCTACTATAGTAGAAGAATCTCTTAAAAGTTGTTCCTGTAAAGAACAATTTTTATAAACCTGGATAAGAAGCACTTAGCTGTCATATAATTTAAAAGCGTTTTTATAAAACTTTATTAAAAGCGGATACATAACTTTCTGAATATGTAGTTGAGCTTTTACTTTGAACTTTCCTGCTTATACCTTATTATAGTCTAAAGCAGATTAGAGCAGGTTAAATCAGGGCCGGTTCAAGAACTTTATTTTGTATATGCGAGAACAAGGTTTGGCGCATCCTATCATAAAACAAGTGTATCCTTTAAAATTATTTTAAAAAATTCTTTGAAAGTTTATACTTTTTTATGTTTTTAAATAGAAATAGAATCAGTGTTATTAACATAATTGTTTGTTAAATATTGTTAATTTAGAAAAATTCCTTTCTCCGCTGGCCACTGATACCGGTAGCAAAAGCAAAATTTTCAATACTACGCACACATTAGGAATGACGTCAATCAAACAGTTTTGAAAATGTTGATGATGACGTTGTTGTTTTGGGGCAGCTATCGTTCGGCAACATTATAGCTAAGTTTATAATTTCACCAAACAGTTCATTCCCATAGCGGTACATTTTCTAAAAGCATCAATCTTACATCAATGTGGTATCGCAAAGAATTAAGGGCTTCTATTCTGCTCTCCCAACTGGTTTTACTAAGAGGATTAATAGTCGTATAGTTTACATAATTAGTTAATGTACTCCATTTATGGATTGATCCAGAAAAAAAAGTTATAAATCTCCTGAATATTGCTAATAAAGTTAACAGCTAGAGTTCAGGAATATGCTGCATCATTGACAACAAGTTTTAGTGAATGGCTTTCACACGAAACAAAAAAAGCTCGTGGGTTAAGGTCAAGAATCCTTTTTTGTACGCCTACAATCTTTCCCTTCATGTTCAATCCACTATCAAACGTATCTTTTGTAAAGATGTTCCTTTTTTTAAAAGCTCGTCTAATTAGCAATTAGACGAGCAATTAGAAAGAATAGTGTCAAATTTTGAATGTGCTTAACAAATTTTAGAACTTGTTTCAAAGAAACAGTGAAAACTGTTTCATTTGTTCGACAAAAAACTGATTCTTGAGTACCAAGGAATTGCACAATGCAAAAAGAGGAGTCAAAACTAAATTTTTTGTTTTAAAACAAGACTTTGTACTATATTTTTATACATATTCTTTTTTCAAAAAAAGGTTAAACTTAAATAAAAATGAAATTGATGTATTTTTACTGGTACTTGGTTGTAAATTAAAGCGCTTTTGTTCAGAAAAAGTTTCAACTGTTTCATCAAGAATGTGTTTTAAATCTTGAGACTGTGAGTTTTCTCGTCTTTTTGCGCTTAGACGTACAAGTTGTTATATTTTTTGTTTGTTATGAGTTTAATTATGGTTAAAAGTATAACCAACACCCAACATCAACAAATGAATATTATAAAAATAGAAAGCAATGTTTATTAAGGTTTAAAGAAAGGGTAACCTAATATCTTTTTAACTTACCATTATTTTGTACTTATTTACAAAGTTAATTGTTATAAATTCACTCTTATATCATATCTTACCTGCATTTGATGAGTTTGATGAAAGTTTACACAAAACATGATTTAGATAAACAATTAACTCACAAACTTATTCTTTCAAAAAATAACTAACTACTATCCTTGATCTAATTATTTTTTCATTGAAGTGCTGAGAAAAAATGTAAAAAATCATTAGTCTAGCATATAAACTTTGGCGCCCTTAATATGTAAACAACTAAGTACATATACACATTACGGACGCTAAAAAATGTATGGAAGTTTAATTTTTTTAAATCGAAATTTAAAATTTCAATTAAAAAAAAAAATAAGAAGAAGAAATAAAAAAAAAGTTGGCTACGCCAGCGCGGCACCCAAGCCACGCCGGCGCCCTATGCGATCGCATAATTCGCATGGCCCTTGCACCGGCATGGGTTAATCAAATTAAAGCAGATTACTGACCCAGAACAAGAACTTAATAAGAAATGTCACCTTTCACTGAACTATTTATGAGTCGTCCATTAATTACGTCTCGCACTAAGGGGAGACAAGAAGGTTAGTGGTTTTGTGACGACTCATACAAAATTTGCTACTAAAGTGTTACAATCTTGTGACGAGGGGTGGGTGGGGAGGTCAAAAACGGTCAAAAATTGCGTGACGTAATTTATGAACGATCCTTTATCAAAAATGTAAAAATTAAATAAAACTTCGCTACTATTAAACAGTTAACGTTTAACTTTTTGGAGATATTTTTGTTTGTAAAATTTATTTTTACGGTGACTGTTGTATGTTGTATGCTGTAATTTTTAATTGTACTGTTGCATAATATTTTTAAAATTATTTAAATATTTAAAAAATAAATATTTTAGATTATAGTTTTCTTTTTTACTAACTTACCACCCTAACTAAACTCCTTATCTAAATGTGTAACTCCAATAAAACACCTGTTTTACGTTGAGTCTTGTAAAGTGCCGTTTGGGACCCGGTGTCTTACCGGTTTACATTGAGGTAAAATAAAATACTCAAAAGGCCGCGTTGTTCTTCCAATAATTTAATTTATTCGCGAACTTATTTCGCGAAGACTTGACTTGTAATTACTAATCAGAAAAAATGGCGATGCAAAGGCGAACAAATGTGAGTTGCTTTTGTAAAGTCACTTAAAAATCAGAAGTATTTTTAAAAATTTTTTATAATTTATATTTTAATATATATATATATATATATATATATATAAATATACAGTATTTGAACCGTACCTAATAAAATGAATTTTCCTTTTTCATAAATTTTTAAGGAAAAGTATGTTAAAAATAGTATGTTATTTAAAATGTTAGCAACTAGCAAACTAACAAAAGTAAGAAACTAGGTAGAATAGCAATAGAATAGATATAAAGTAATTTTTTTTTCAAAGTAAAAGCTACGTACTAAACAAATGAGCATTTTTTTAAACACAAATTATCTCTCCCTATTTTGGAAAGTCATAAACATAAATGGTTTTAACCTTTAAATGATAAAAGATTTAAATCTAAATGCTAAAAATGCTAAATGTTTTTGAATGCTAAAAGGTTATAAGATTTGACTCTTGATGAATTTTTATTTAGTTTAAGAAAATCAAAAAGTATATTTTTAACTCCTATATTCCACAACGATTTTCTATAAAGCAAAAGATTTTTCTGTTCCGAGCATTTATGGAAAGTATTCTTGTAAGATGTCAGTGTGACTCCACACTAGTTTTAAGTTTTCACCGCGTTAAACTTGCATTTAAAATACAAGAGTTTTCAAAATTATAAACAATATATAAATTCAATTAACACATGGTACTGTTGATCTATGTTATGGATCAACATGGAAAAGTTAAATACTAAATGTGCAAGTCACATCCTTTTCAAGCTTCTGTAATGAATTTACTAAAAAGTATAACTTAAATGAAATAAGTAATTAAAAACTGATTGCTTTTTGTTTTATTGTACTTCAAATGTTGCCATTTTAATTTTTGCAATAATCTTTTGAATAACACCAAGGATTTAAATGGTTAAAATTATGAGGTTAATAGAAACGCCCTTAAAACCCCTAAATAAATAAAAACAAAAATGCTGCAAATTTTTTTAATATTTAAATACTATATAGACTTATAGATAATTATTGTAAATTCAATTTTCATTTAAAACTCTTAATATTAAGTGTGCACTGATACTTTAATAAATATTCATTATGGTATTTTATAGAACTAATAACCACCCTAAAGTACTATTTCCAGTACTAATAAGCATATAATATTATACATTGCCGTAAGATATTGTTACAGGGTGGCTGCAGTTCCTCTAAAATCATCTAAAATCTTTATTTTTAGGTGAAAAAAAACCTCCTCTAAAACCCTCTATTATCTTTTAAAAAGTTGTTAAATCTTTGATCAAATCTATTTTTTATTTCTTGATGGTAGTCTAATGTTTAAAATACCCATTCTTGGTCTGCAAAACTGGTTAACGCCCAAAAGTGCATTGGATTGTAAAAAATTGCTTTAACAAATTCATGCTATTTAACATGAAAAAGGACATTATTGACCCCTGTCCAAACCCCATAAGTGTAAAAACATGGATTTTAAACCTAAAAAAAAACAAAAATCCTCAAAATTTTTGATGTTTTGCAAAAAAAAAATCTTCAAAATTAGATGCAACGTGAATCATGGTCTGAAAAAACCACACATGTAGCATTTTTTTACTTTTTAAATTTATTTTAAAAAATGTTCCTTATGTACAGAATCTATGATATTCTTTAAAAATCAGACATGTACTAACCTTACCTTATCGACAAATATGTGATTCTCACATGGTCTGTAAAAATAACTCATGTGTTGCACCATAGTCATAATATACATAGTCCGGCCAGTTTACGAGCACTATTGTTTATCTTATTGTTAGCTTTTTTTTAGTACTTAGTCTACCAATGAGTGCATACTTTTTGTAAACAAATATGCATTAAGAAGAATATTTACAAGAAGATTATTGATTTATCCTTGATTTTTGCAAATGCCTTGTCTTAATTGTTACATATTTGGTTCTGGAGCTTCTCAAAGAAGTATAAATCTTTTTCTATTTGAAATATTTTCGTCCGATGATGATGTTTATAACAAAGAATCAAGTTTTACAAATTATAAATAAAAATATATCTTTAGTTATATTATAACTAATAATAAAATATGATATCAGATAACTTTTTTGTTGGATCGACAGGTTTACTACCTTCAATAAATCAACCAGATAAGAGCTTTTCATTGGCAAATCCTTCTTTAGGCAGAATATAGTAGTTTCTCATATTACTAAAGCTCAACTCAAAGAAATCAACTTTTTCTTCTGAAGAAGACGAAAGTCAATATTTAAATATTTACATTTAAAAAGATGCTTAATACTGTTGTGTCTAACCTTATTTCATTATAAAAAAATATCAAAGCTATTTTGTGGCTATTTTACTAGCAAAAAATCTTATAAAAACATTATTTGGTATATAATAAAAGATAAAAATCTTCAATGCAAGAATATCACAAGATTTAATGGTTTATGCAAAGCACAAATATATATGTATATATATATATATATATATATATATATATATATATAAATATATATATATATATATATATATATATATATATATATATATATATATATATATATATATATATATATATATATATATACAGTGGTGTACATTGGATTTTTAGATGTTTGAGTTTTGACACTAACACATATTTTGCAAACTCTAAACTTTTGTATGTTCATACTTATGTCAAATGAGAATGTTTTGCAAAAAGTTGTGGTAATTGGAGCTTGAGGACAAGAAAACCCCATTTTTCGGGCCCACTCAGCCCTTAATGGGAGCAACAAGTTGACAAAATAATTTCTTTAGTATTTTTATCTAAGTTTATATTCATCAACGAATTTCAAATTTTATGCAATAACCTCTTAGTTTTTAGTTTTTATGAGCCTACAAATTTAAAGCCCTCTCAAATTGAGGGGGGTTAAAACTTTATATGGTCATAATTTTCGAAAAATAAGAAATTATTGGATGAAATTTGAAATTTGTTAATGAATATAAACTTGGATAAAAATACTAAAAAAGTTATTTTATCAGCTTGTTGCTCCCACGCTAAGGGCTGGGTGGGCCCAAAAATTGTTTTTTTTTTTGTCCCTAAGCTCCAATCACCACAACTTTTTGCAAAACATTCTCATTTGACATAAGTATGAACATACAAAAGTTTGGAGTTTGCACAATACCTGTAAGTGTCAAAACTCAAACATCTAAAAATCCAGTGTACACCACTGATATATATATATATATATATATATATATATATATATATATATATATATATATATATATATATATATATATATATATATATATATATATATATATATATATATATATACATATATTTATATATATGTGTGTGTGTATATATATATATATATATATATATATATATATATATATATATATATATATATATACACATTTATTTATACGTGTATAAAGATATATATATATATATATATATATATATATATATATATATATATATATATATATATATATATATATATTTTAACCTCTTCGCTTCCAACAAGGCTGCAAGCAACCACTAATTAGTGTTGGAAGTTACTGGAAGAGAAAAGATGAAGATTGTAGAGCAAGATAACGATTGACAGACGACTTAAAAGATTGCAAATTATATGAATCAGGAAAGCAAGATGAAGGAAGCGAATTCCAAAGAACTGATGTTCGAGGAAAAAAACTAGATGAATAAGAATTTTTCAAGCACTTAGGAACAGTAACAGAAAAAGGATGAGACTTAATTGAATGACGAGTAACACGAGAATGAATTTTAGTGATGGCACAAGAGACGTTAGCTCTTTAGAGCAGTGCCCATTATAGTTTTTGTAGAAAAGAGAAAGAGAAGCAACATTACGACGATGTGACAGAGTACGAAAGTGTCAACTTGATAAAGAGATGCAACTTTAGCAGATGCTAATTTTGCAGCGGATTTAATATAAGGTTTCCAAGAAAGATCAGTGAGAGTTAATCCTAGAAGATGAAGGGTAGATGACTTATCGAGTACATTACCCTTCATAAATATAGGAAGGTCTATTACCTATTATAGGAAGGTCTATTACCATTACCATTCATAAATATAGGAAGAAATATAGAAATATAGGAAATTATTGAGATAACGGTTGGCTGAAAAAAATTGAGTTTTATTTGAATTAAAGTTCACCAGCCACTGTGAGCCCCATGATGTAGCAGAAGTGAGATCCTTTTCAAGCTCAAATGCCAATATATATATATATATATATATATATATATATATATATATATATATATATACATATATATATATATACATTTGCCATTATTATTTGTGAATAGAAGCAAAATTCATGAACTTATTTTTAGAACACACACACACACACACACACACACACACACACACACACACACACACACACACACACACACACACACACACATATATATATATATATATATATATATATATTTGTCATTATTATTTTTGAATAGAGTTTTGAATGCTATCTTAAATAAAGAAATGTATTTATTGTTGCAGTTATATCATGCACGTAATTGTAATAATTGGGGTATCAAAAGGTGCATTGTCAATCTTTAAAAAAATCCATAGAGGCTAAAAAGTGACCTGTTTGGTTGAAGTTATGTGAAGGAAAAGTGATGCAAAGAAGTCCTAATATTTCAAAATTTTATAAATAAAATCCTAAAAAAATTATTAAATTACTTAAGTAGTTAAACCAAGTGCTTTACATTATACGATAATATTATTTAAAGTAAAAAATTACACAACTTTAATTGATTTTCACTTTATTATTGCATCTTTCAATCATACTACAATACAGTTCAAATGCTAGAATGTTTTTAACAAATTTTTTGGTTATCAAAATAACCTTTATTAAATGTCTAATATTTATTCGATGGAGTTTAAAAACCCTTTCTTGGTTGTTGTTTTTTTTCTTTTTGACTAACGTATTCTTCGATAGAAAGTACTAAATACGTAACAACCAAATCACTGAACTAAATTTTTTTCTTTTTTTTTTAAATACGATTAG